CACGCTCGAGGGCGCTATCGCTAATTTTCAGTCCGTCCTCGTTTTCTTCCCCTGGACTAGAGCTCTGGGCAGGCCAGCGGTCAGGCGCTGGGGGAGCCCCAGGTTTGTCTCTCTTTTGCCTGTGGAAATCAGGGGAGGAAAGGGTGCACCCAACACAAGCGACGAGGATTCAGAAAAAGCAGAGTGCCAGAGGCCCGGCACCCGTCCCCGTCCCCGTCCCCGTTCCCGTCCCCGTGTGTGGTAACAGGAGATGCTGCTGCGTTTGCCCTCAGGAGATGTGTTGATCCTCGTTATTTGAGCAGACAAACAGGCCAGCAGCTGGCATGGCAGAGCCTCCCTAATTCACCTCCCACCTTTTGTCCCATTTCCATGTATTTATATTCCCCAAATAAGTTTGACAGTCGCTGGAGAAGCGGCTGCTTGGCTTTCCTAGGCACAAGGAGCAAACTCAGAGCTTCGGTTTGCAAAAACACCCAAAAGCAAGGGTGCTTCTCCCTCTCCTTTGGTCACTTCAGGAAACTAATCCCATTAAGGTCAGAAATACTTTACTTCTAAACAATATTTCACTGTATTTACCAGCTTCTGCCTACAGCCCATTGTGAGTGCAAAGAAGGCGCCGTGGGCGGCTGGCAACGAAGAGCACACCGGCAAAGCGGCCGCGCGGGCCGCGGCTGCTCATTTCATCCGCAGCGATTTGCCCCCTCAGACGTGCCTTGCAGCCTCAGCTCTCCCCAGCTGGCTCCCAAAGGAGCCTGCTTTACCTGGTACCTTGGTGATCAGCAGGGAAAATGATTGAGTTGGGCCAGCAGCAGGACTGGGGACCCCAAACTTATCAGCAAAGTGAGAAAGCTCATAGGTGCTTGCAGAGAGAAACTGCCCGTGCTCAGACGGAAACAAACAAACAATCTCGTTAATATATGCATCTTCAAGGATGCTGGGCTTCTGCTTCTTTGCCTTTAATCATTAATCTGTTTTCACTACCTTCATTAATTTTGTTGCTTCTGCTGCCATATACTTTATCAAATTTATTAATGCTAAACATAGCAAATGCAGTTGTGTGCAAGGTCCAACTGAGATTCAAGGGGAAAACAGATTATAGAAATAAAGTTTTATGAAAGAACCAGTTCTGGAAGAACTGGCTAAGTAGCATTCTTAGTGTCACATGTGAGCTAATCTTCAAAAAGGATCGCGATCTCAGGAATTTCTCATTTGTGAGGCAGATGAGAAAAAAAGATATAACAGCAAGTCCAATGCAGACCTGTTTTTCTAGTTAAAAACCATTTAAACAATACCATTACTTGGATGATTTTGTTTGGGAACATGAAAGTGTGAAGGGCCCTAGACCAGTATGCAATCAAGGGATTGCTTGCAGTCCGCATAGGAATAACCAACCCCCAAACCAAAACCCCCAGGGAATCGTGTGGCTGAGCCGACTGGAAATTGCATGTGGGACTTCCAGCATCAGGTTGCTGCTGGCTCTTAGCCCAGCTGTGATTAATCAACGGCTGCCACCATCCCTTAGCTCTTCTGTGACTCAGGTGTTGGTGTAAGCACCTACGCTGGAATTCATGTAGCTCATAAAATGAAATTGTGCATCTAATTAGCATTTACAAGCACGCATTTTGTAGTAGGCTGTTAGAAAGTTGTAGATCTAAGTGCATTAATACAACAAACAGTCAGGGGGCTTTGGAAACCTCTTAAAAACAATGGCTCATGATAATACCTAACAGCAAAAGAGAAGAAGAACGACAACAAAGATGCTGTGGAGAATGGTAAATGCATGAATCGACGTAGTTATACTTATTTCCATTCTTTTTATATTTCTGAATTAATTCAGCATTCATAAAAAAATAATAGCAGCCTCTGAGAGGGCCATAGACGTGCAAAGGGTTTCAGGCCGTGGATAAAAGGGCATCACTTGGGTGCGTGTCTGTATGTGAGTGTCAGAGCAAGGGGAGACAGCGCTAATCGTCCCTCCGAGAGCTCTGCAGGAGCACCTCTATCCTCCCCTGCCTCCAGTCCCCTTGCTCTCCTCTGGTGATAAAACTGCTACAGGAAAAAAACCTTATTATCACCTTTTTCCCACACAGGACTGAACAGCCTGCCGTCTGACACTCGCTGACTAATTGGAAAAACATCATCCGCACAAATTAGCTGCTGCTATTTCTTGCTGCCCTTTCAAGAGTTCAAGAGCAGTCCTGCAGTAAAGGAGAGGAGACTTTTTTTTTTTGAATGTGACTGGGATCTGGCTAAGCAAGCAGTGATGCAGCAAAGCTTTTCACGGCACGCCGCAGGTGCTCCCGTCCTGCAGACGTAGTGCATGGCAGTAACACCCGGCAGTGACAGCACTAAAGACTTTTTTCCATGCCAACTGCAGTGCAGCTCAGTAGGGAAAAAGGAAAAAAACTGGAAACAGAAGAGGGAGACAAAACAGGCGACTGAAAAAACTGACAGAAACACCTGGATCAGCTACCCACTCGGGTAAAATTAATAGCTTTGCTGGTTCCTTTGCTTCAAATACAGTAATTCCATTCTGCGGACCTCATACAAGGGCTCCCTTGAAGTTAACAGGAGATGTGATACTTATCTTCAAAGACAGAATTTAGTCCTATGATATTAATCCTTTGGTATAACTAATTGCATAGTCTCTCTCCTATTGTGTATCAAAATGAGTGACAGTTTTTGCTAATAGGACACATAGGAGTGAGTAAGTATGCACATGTAAGGACATATTCTCATCTGGAGTCAAATGAGAGGTCTGTGGCATAGTCAGACGGGAATTCCAACTAGATTTTTTTTTTAACTTTTTCCAATGTTTTCCTTTTAAACACAAGAGGTTCTTCCCTTCCTGCAAACACTGTTTGACCAAGCATACTGGAAAACATGGGGGTTCTGGATCACGGAGAGTATGCGCTCTAGTAAACTAATGTCCACACTAAGGTGAAATTAAGGTTTTAGAAATAAACTTAATTCAGATATTGAACTTGCAAGTGCTTGATTTGCAAGCATGATCTTTTTCACACAGTTCGTTTGAACTGCGCTGAGTTACGCACACGCACATACGTACACACCCCGAGGCACACAAGTCATCAGGAAGGTGGGAACCCAACAACCAGGGACACGTCGTCACTCTTAGCGCAGCAGCTCTCTGAGACATGATCCTGAGCAAGCAGGGCACTGGGCTGTGCGAATGGAGGAGTTGCTCCTTAGCCATCCCCAAAAGTACACCCCCAAAACACCCAAGCCAGCTTGTACTCCTAACACATCCGCTGGCAGCGAAAGACTAGTTTTCCCCTCAGGCTTTGACTTCAAAATTTGAAACAGCCTTGTGTGTGCTAGGATTGTAGCTCATGCTAATTAGTTACCTGGAGTTAAGTACTTTGGGAAGCTACGTATGCCTTTTCATACAGTGAAGAGGAGGCCTCTGCCAGCAGGGCTCTGCACAGCCCGCTTGCGGTTCACCGCCCCTCGGACGTGCGCAGAATTTTAAGCTGACGGAAATCCAGAGGACTCAGTCGAAGCCGGAGGCTTTCAAACCCTAATGCTCGAGCACTGCGAAGCCTTCGGATGCATGATGCTGGGGAATTGCGAAACTTGATTACTGAACCAAATCTTGGAGGCTTCATCCTATTTAGTGCCTCTTGCCTGGGAGCAGGAGCTTGGCAGGAACATGCGGAAGGTCTCCGAGATTAACAGCAGAACGTTGCAGAGCACGAATGGGGCTCCGAGAGGCTGTTAGTAACAACTGATAGCAAATTATCATTCTGGCATGCAATTAATAATAATAATAAAAATAAATAATATCATCTCATTGCTCATATATGGGGCTTTTCATCCACAGCTTAACCTTCTTCAGGAGTATTACTAGCATTTTAGAGGAGAAAAATTTCACTGGTAGGTAAAATAATTTGCCACAGCCATCTAGCTTGTCAGTGGCAGAAGTAAAGGCAGAGCCACAGACTGGCATTACTAAACCACACGTTTTCCTTTTTAAGTTATACCTGTAATCGTGTTTATCTTTCCATATAGACACACCTGAGCTAGCAGCTGGGCTCGCAGCAGCAGATAGTGCCCTGGCCACTTGCGTTTCTCCTCCTCTCCCTCCCTTGTTATCCTTTCCCTCCTGCCGGGCTGCAGCAGAAGCATTTGGGCGACGGCTGCGAGCTCTTGCCAGGGGCCAGGGAAGGCACCAGCCCGGGGCTGCCCCCCTCCTCCGTGGGATCCCCAAGGGGATGCTGCTCCCAGACCTCCAGCGTTGCGCTCCGTAAGGACGTTCAGCAGCGAGGCTGTTACCATCCGATGCACTTGAAGGCATTCAGAAGCTGTCGGGTGGTTTCCTCCCCCTCGCCGTCTCCTCTCGACTTGACTGTGATCAGCCTCTTGCAGGAGGCTTTCAGCCACCTTGGTTAAATACTTACACTCTCCATCTCTGCAGCAGACCTGGGTCCCCGGCTAATATTTTAAAGCTGACTGTCAATTTTGCCTCCTAGTGTTTTTTTATAAAATTTGCTATCTTTTTTCATCGATTTACCTCATATTGTATTTTCAGTTTTCTTTCCCACTCTTCTTTGAACAGGACTATTGATTCACATGGATGCAATAAATCCGTTTCAAAAGAATATGGTTTCTGTTTCAGATCAAATCAGAATACTGAGCCGGTTCAACAGTCTTAAAAGCTATGGTTAGAATCACTGGGCAGAACTCTGTTTTTATTGGGTCAAATTTTGCTTATAGATTTAATGAAACTTGCTTGGTATGAAATGGAACAGAATTTAGCCTTTAACATTTACGCTTTTGTAATAACTCTTAGCAATTAGTACTTAAATAGCAGTAGCAATATGCCCACTCTGTTAGTTACTGTGAAACCTTCAGGCATTTTCAAACTTTTAACACAGGACAATTTTCCTACAAAAAATAATTTTGTAGCTTTGAAGGACGGAATAAAAATTTAAATAAAATACTAAAAATACCTTTCTGTGCAGAAAACCAGTGTTATTTATTTCAAGCCATCCCATGTCCAAAATCTGTATTAATGAAGGCTAATGCCAGGACAGCTTTTTTTTGCCGTCCTCAGAGGTGAAGTATTCTAGATGGGCAAACTTGGCATTCATAACGTTTTTGAAAACATTTGCATTGGAGAAACTCATTAAACCTGCAAAAACCCATTAGCACAGTCTCTCTCAAATAGTTATAGTAGTACTTCCTTCACTGAATACTTCTTCAAGCATGAAATACCTTAAGTCTACACCTATCACCCCATATGAGGTTTATGCTAGTGTCAGTGCATTAATTCAATGCAATGTTACTCCCAGACTTAGAATCAGGACCCTTGATTTGTTTAAACACTAACCTACATACGAAGTTTTACCTGTCCTCTCCCCAGACTAGAAGAATAACACTTCTTTTCTGCTAGCACAGCTCACAATGTGCTTTTTTTCCTGTCTGATTTTTCTCAATTTATATATGTGAGGCCTTATTAAGTAGTTTATAATGATTAATGAAAGATGCTTCGATGACATTTTCCCCTCTTGTCTCATTAATCCCAGATACATCAGTTAGGCATGTACTTAAAATATTAAACACAGTGATCCACTGAAGCCAGCAAACCTGCAAGTGTAAACAGAGGCGTATGGTAAATAATTAGCTGAAATAGGACCTACATGATTTGACCGATACTACAAAAGCCGTTTCTGGTAAAACTGGGATGCGAACCTAGCTTTTTGCAGCATCCCAGACTGGTATTTTAACCTTGTCTTGATTTCAGCTACCTTTTGTCTTGATTTCTGCAACCTTTTTGGTAGGATATCTCCTGCTAAAGTTCTTGAAGTGTTTATTCACGCAGCACCCAGTGAGATGGATGGCAAGTTATTCACAGATTTTGAAGATGACCATTGTGCTTCCATGAAGCGTGTTGATTCCTCTCCCCACTGTACAGCTAGGGACTGCGTGATGGAAGGAGACATTCAATGATTCAATGAAGTCCACACAGCGGCAGCAATTGCCTCTTTAAAGCAAGTTTTCTTTTTTTACAAAGAAAAAGAAAGTTGTAGTTTGCCATCTGCCCTCTTCTGCCAGAATTCATTCTGCGACTTCATTTTGACTCCAGCTCCCTGTGTCCCGACGCAATCTCGGAAAGCAGGACAAGCAAATCCATAGGCAACAGCATACAGCAATATGTGCTATAAGCAGGAAGCAGTTGTTAATCATTAATGCATCAGCAAGACACCAGGCCCGATGCTCTGTGGTTCAGAAAAGATGTTCATTCCCTTTCACTTTTATTCCCCACAAGCATCTTCTTTTCTTTCCTCCTCTTCCTACCTCTACCTACAGATAATGCTTTCAAAGCAATAAATTCAGGGTAGGTGTTTTAACTTATCATTTACAAGGGCTGATAAATTGGGGCATCATCATTTGCAGATGCAAAAGGTTCCACAACAGAAACGTAGGCTTGGATTTGGCATTTGAACCTGCCATGCTGAACTGTGTCTAATTTCTATTTTATATGGTGCATTACTTGAAGTTACTTAGGCTCCCCTCAGCCTTTAGAGCTGAGAGTTTTGTGGGTCAGTGAATGGCTGAATTCAGAGAGCCAATTCCTTTTCCTTACTGCAATGTGCCTTAACATGGGAAGGGATTTTCAGCTCTGAAAAGCAGACAGGAGCTGGAGATAGGAACCACACAGCTCTATTACTAAGGGAAGCTGAATGTTTTCATTCAAACGTGGATGTTTAGCTATTCTGTTCTTTGCTCTAAAGCAATAAATATGTGCTTTTCGCAACCTGAGGATAGAAAACTGCCAAACGCGGAATTTCACGTTTTGATACAAAGTTGGAACAACACGGAAGCTATCTAAGGATCAGAAAAACAGTGCAAGCTGAGTCCTACAAAACCTGTTTGCTTCTCTCTTTAGAATTTGCCTCTTAAGAAAAAATATACAGTCTACTAACAAAACTATGATTTTACTCTATTCGGAAAGAGTCACATCTTAGTAGGGAAGGGAGCTTTTTTTTTTTTTTTTTTTCACACAGCAACACCACCAAAGCCAGGCGCCCCTTCCGACCTGGCACCCTGCTGGCAGGGGTGTTATGTGGAACAGAGCAAACACAGCTTGAAACACAAGCATCCAGACAGAGATGGAAAAAAACTGGTTTTGACTTGTAAACTGAATAAATTTGATACAGAAGTGGTAACTGGAGAATAACAGTCAGAGCCTAGCGTTGCTGCTTCTACATTCAGTGTTATGACCATAACTATCTTAAAAAAAAAGTTTCGTTTTTTTATAAAGATTTGGCACTTTGAGAGAAAGGTCTGAAGGAAAATCATTCAGAACTGCAGTCCAAACTCTCAGGCCTGGGCTTGAGCTCTATGGTTCAAACACCAAGACAGGTATGAGACCTTATATTAAAAACTAGAGATTTTCAAACTTTCCTTGTGGTTTTGTGGGCTCACCTGAAGATATCTGGAAAGGGATCTAATTTCAGAGACGGTGTTCAACACTTCCCAACAGCCAGTTTTTCTGTACCATTGCAGCAAGCAATAAACACGGGGAAGATTTATCTCCATGAGGATGCAGTGAGGTTCTCTGATTTGGGACTATTCCCTGCCCAAGTGCCCTTCGCGCTCTCTCAGCGATTCGGCAGATCACGTCGACAGGTTTGGAAAGCACTATTTCATGGTATTGCTAATAGTCCTATATCAAAAGACACAACCCTGTAGCTCTCCTAGGTAAAGGGAGACAGAACTGTTTCTCAGCCCCCCCAAAATGCTTCTCCTCGTTTGGTGAGAAACCAAAAGGTATCAGTCGCTGGAAGCTGCCCTGAAGGGGAAGAGGAATTGGCTTTCCTAATTCAGAGAAAAAGTTTCTTAGCAGTTGCCTTCCAGTGAAGACTGAAACTACTGATAAAACAAAACATATTAAATCACTGACTTTATAGAGTTATGCCTATAGGGAGTACAACACACCGACTTTTGGCTGAAAATATCAGTATTTCTTTTTTTATCTGAAAGAGACAGAGGGAAAAGGGTGTTTCAAGAAAATATTTTCCTATGCACTGGCAATTTAATTCCTTGACGTGCAGATGTAAGAAGAGATAAGAAGGATTAGGTGCAGGGAGATCATTTTAGCTGCGCAGTCGCCATTTCCACCCCCATCTCCTAAGTAGGCTGAATTACAAAATCTCACGCTTGTTGTAAATTTTAACCTTCTGTTTTTTCTGCCACTCTCTGTAGCACATAGGAGCATTTTCATGTGTGCAATTCTTAAATGTCAGTATAATGGAAAGCAGATGAGTCTTTTATGATAGCAATTTTTCACTCACTTTTCCTGTTAAAACTATGCAGCAGGAATAAAAAAAAAGATACAGGGAAAAATTGTGGCTTAAATGAGACACTGCGCTAATTCGCATTGCTTTTACCAGGTGAGCCACATAAAAATGTTAAGATATCAACCTCCTTTCAGACTGCTCTGATGCAAACAGCAGTTATGAAGCTGAATGATGATTCCTTGGTAGCATTGCCTACCCTTTCTGCTAGTCGAGCTTTCTTATGCACTCAGTTATGTGGTGTCATTACATGCTAGAGCACTCTTGGTGTATTGCACAAGGTACTTCACATAAGTGACAGTACACGCCAGACAGTGATACATCCCTGGGTATAATGGCATGAAGCGTAAGCAATTTTTATCCTATTCCGCCTCCTACCTACCTTCCGTAGCTTGGTATCTAGCACTTGCACAGCCTGCAGAAGGAGCTGAAGATTTAATGAGCATTTGAAAGTTAAATAATTTATAGATGTGACTGTTCTGAATCCTCTGTTTGCAGTAAGCCAAAAAAAGATATGTCTCCGTACGCAGATGAAGCTGAACCACTAACCACTTATCCGAAAACGTCTTCAGAAAAGTATGGGAAATGCCAGTTGCTCCAGATATGCACCACATTTAGGAAGGTCAAATCCACTGTCTGAGGATATGTTGTTGCATGTATAAATGGATGAAGATATCCACAAATCTGAAGAGAGTATAAAACAGCATTTAAAAGGTGGACTCAAACTGATTTAAAATAGACAACAAAAACAGGCAATTCCTTGTCCAGTATGATACTTAAGATGGTTCCTATGAAAATAAATCAAAGTAACTTCATTTTAGAGTATAGTATCACAGTGTCGTTCAACTGAACCACAGCAAAGCCTTATGGTACTTCTCATGTGGGGCTGAAGCCAGCATAGGACTCCGTCTTTAAAGGGAGCATATAAGTAATTCAATCAAAAGCAAACAACAAAACCCTATAAAGCCTGGTACTGTCAACTTAGCTCTGATCGCAGCAAAACACAAAGCAAGCTACTCAATAGGCCAGGCGCATTTTTGCAAGCATCATCTGTGATACTTTTCCTCTGGATGGACTAAGGATCCACTCTTTTCATGGATTTGAGCTCAATTGCCTGGGGACAGGTGCCCATGGGGAGGGAGTTTGAAGTGAGCATCGTCTTCATGTGAGAAGGCCTCTCCTGTTCATCTTAGGAGGTGAGATGCAGATGGTAATTAGAGCTGTCAGGATTTCGGGAGCTAAACTTATCTGAAAGTTCATGGAACCTGCCTCAGGTAGTTACATCCGTTGTCAGTAAAATCGGGAACTGGCTCCCAAGTCACCACGAGTAACCTTTTAAAACATAACAGAGAAGCCAAGACTGTTTTGCTGAATCAAAGCAAGAGACCCGTAAGTATCCGGGCCTTAAGTGTTTCCTTAGCTGATAAAAATCATCTCCAGTTTTCTGACTGTTCCAGGGCAAGACTTCTTCAGCCAAGGAACATGCACGCAGCCTAAGCCTGAATTTGTGGATGTTTAACAGCTGTTAGGAGTAGACCTAACCTGGTCATAAGCTGTTCATACCTTGTCCTGGAGCTCACTAGGCTTTGATCAAAGAATATAAGACTACTGCTTAAGGGATATCTAGTCTGTATAAGACATGAAGTCAGAGATAGCTGATGCTGATTAAAATGTGACTCCTAAATCTCTAACTGGCAAGAACTAGCTCTCCTCGATTCTAGCTCAAAAACAAACAAACCAACCAACCACATACACACACTCAAGCACCAGTAATGCATCAGTCCTTGGTGTTGTTCCGTTCTCCTCACTGGGCTGCCAGACTTGCTGCTGCATGAGCTGAAAACAGCCTAGATTGCTGCTGCAGCACCCAAAGGGACTTCAGCTACCAGTTTCGTCGCTGCCACGCAAACGCTGCATCCAAACAGATGTACACGCATTGCAGGCCTAGAAAATAGGATCTTTATAGTTTAGGTGAGTTCTGAACGAAAAGTAACAGAATCTGGATTTGAACCTGGGATCCCAGCCTGCCCTGTTCACCCTCACTCACTCAAGATTTTACAGTGCTGAGCATTCTTGTTTTGCCCAATTCATGCAGCAATGTTTGGTGAAATGATACAAAATTCATCCTCAGTTTTTCTACACGCCTAGAAAGATATTTGTCAAGATATTTCAGGAAAAAACAGACTGCCACCTCTGCCTGGCAACACTCACATCACACAGGGGCAAATCGTGTTCAGTTACAGAGAGGACAACTGCAGGGCTTCTCCTTTCTATGGACTCGTGCTTGCAGAAATCACGTTTTAGTTGCAGCAGCCCTTTCTGCTCCTTCCAACCTAGGTAGCCCAGGCCCACGCTACAGCAGGACCCCGGGAGAGATACTGAGATCTTTCTCCTAGCTCTTGGATATACCTGGCACGTATCTTGTTGCTCTCCAACATACAGAAACTTTGCTCTGAGATTCATAGGTTCAGCACGGTGATGGTGATATCCTTAGACAAACTCTCTCATAATGAGGTTATGGGATGTGGATGAATTCTGCTGTTCCCCCCTGGACTCTTTAACTAAATATAGTCTCGACTGTCTCCTGCCACTGCTCCAAGGTCTTCATAAACTCTTCCTTAGATGGACTAAACAGACAATCATGAAACTATTAAGGCTATATTCATTTCCTCTAAGGCCTGCCACTTTCCTTGTTGTTTAATCAGTTATTAAATAATCCTCATGCTTTCCTATGTTCTGTTTGCTCTAAAGAGCTTATGAAACCTCTCTATAGGGTAGCTTAACCCTTTAGCTAATGACCTAATAGAACTGTTATGAAAAATCTCCCTTTAACAAATTTAACACATCAGCAATGATATTTCAGACTTCCTGGGAGAACAGGACTCTTCCTATCACATTGTAATTTGAAGACAGCTGTCAAATAAATGTCAGAAAGTTGAATAGATTATCTGCCCAATATAGCAAGTTTTTAATTTACCCTGCTTTGTTTATGAATAAGATCTTTACAGTGCTGAGCCGCCTAAAGGAGACGCATTATTCAACCACTCAACTGGAACAAAACAACAGACAGTTCAAATTAATTCTATAAAAAGGCAGACTAAATTGTGCTGTTTGCAATGCAAATATGATTTCAGACTTCATTAGCATTTTCTTTAAGCTCCAGTGCCTCAGTAGTAGGATCAAGTGATGCTTCCCAATCTCCTAGATGTTTTGTCAAGTGCTCGGGGTACTTCCTAGTTGCTTGCTAGGTCAGCGAGGACCACAGAGGATGCAAGAAGCATTGAATGGGAACTGTTGTAGCAAGTGTGGAGATGTTTTTGTGGACTTGTTTACTTTATCTGCACAAATGGAAAAGCTTTCCCTTGTAGACAGGCCCTCCAAGGATGGTTGCAGGATATTAAAATACTAGTGTTCTGACAAAGTGGTCCACTAGAGGTCCCTCTCAACTCAAAATGATCTAAGCCTGCGTTCAGTTGAACATGCTAAAATGCAAATGAAAACATGCCCAAATTGTGCACACAGACTGGATACATAGATGCATACGCTAAATTTAGCATATGCAAATATGTATCTGAGCTGTATGCCCAATGACTGCAGGGGTAGGAACAAATCAGTTAATTGGCTAAGGCCAAAGCAGCTACAAAGCGGCCAGATCACCCGTCATTGACCAGTCCCTGTACCTAATTGCAATAGCTGTATGCACAGTTGAATAAACACCTTTTAGCAAATCAGGCTCTGAACCATTGAAAAAGAAAGCTGAACGCCTGGTGTCACCCTCAAATTAAAAATCTTACTTCAAATTAAATCTTGCTTCGAATTAAAATCTTACCTTGGGCTCACTGAGCAGTTTGCCAAGGTTCAGCATGGGGCTGATAGGAACCCATATGGCATTCAGGATTCGGCTGTGAAACTGGGTGCAAATAGTGCGTCTATCAGGAGTCAGACACTGGCAGGAAGTGAGACGTGAAAATCAAGCTCTGCTCACGCTCCCAGAATAGCTAGAAGTGAGTAGAAAGATAACTGATGTCACCAGTTACCTAGCTAAAGCAGAAGGTCTTTTCAGTAATGCTTATGCTGAAGCACACAATTAAAAAGTAGGTTGCATAGCATAGTGGAAACATTTCTGGGAGACCAAAAAATCTGAATGGGGGGGAAAAAACACGGATTATGCACAAAGATAAATATGTGCCCTTAGATGGTGTGCTGGACTTGGATCAGCAGCACTGGAGATCAGCCAGTTTGGAAGCTGATGCCTTTTAACTATTTACTCTTTGGTCATTTTTTCCACAGACGAGCAGCGCAAAACCAAGAGAGCAAGGGCTGTGTGTTGCAGAGGACCGGCGTGGAGGGCTGCTGCGAACACACGGCACTCACTCACTGCCTTTCTCAGACCAGTTTAAATCTTGCTCTGGTAGAGCACAACAATCTTACGCAGTTCCTGCTTCGCTCTCTGAGTCACAATTTTTTATTTTATTGACAACAGCAAGTTTTCAACCTTCCCAGCACTGCAAAGCCAGCACGGCAGACTGATCGCTGGTGCTGCTCGCCCCACGTGCGTCACCAGAAGGCTCAGCACAGCTCCTGCTGCCGGCAGCTTTTTCAGAGGAGTGGCAGATGCAGACAAACAAATACCAGCTGGCAGGAAAATCAAGTCCTGATGTCTCATCTGGGGCTTCATTTTTACCTTCCCATTTGTGAGGTCTCCTTGAAATCAACATGGGAGGCCTTCCAAAGCTACACACACGCCACCACTCTGAAAGCTTTCTGTAATCATGTTGTGTCTTGTGGACAGACATAAGTCATGAGCAAAAGCCAAAAAAGCTTTAAAATTATCTAAGTAATCATCATATTACCATGAGTGCTGCCTAAACCATTCCCACAACTCACTTTGGCATTTTACACATAAGGGTAAGATACATTAAAGAGACCAGATCTGGCCAAGCTACCTTAGTTTATAAGTAGGGACACGGGAGGAGAAAAATGAAACAATACTTAGGGTCAGCTGTAAATGATCCAGCAATTTAGGGAAAGGGAAGGGAGGAGAAAGTAGGGAAAATGACTAAATATATGTATTTTTTCCATCTGGAAAATATTTGTCTACCTTGAAAACTAAACACCCAGACCAAAAAACAGGAACATCCAAAATAGAAAAACTCAGGTTTCTGTGGTTTTGGATTAAAAATTTCCTTCCCCCTTGCCTTCTATTTTCATAGCATTTATCTGGCCTATTCAAGTAAACTATGCCCATAGGACCCAGAGTCCCAGGGAGTTTGTAAAACTAGGGTTACAAATCCAGCTGTAGCCTGGGACATATTCTGTGCGTGGTTTTAGGCAGAGCCTCTGACTTCTGCAGGATCCTCTGTATCAGAAATACCCACTGCCTTTCCATATCTTGGCAATAGCATACCATAACTTCCTGCTTAACGTCTAGATGACTTTGTATCCCAAGTAGAGGAACACCGTACCTCAGAGTCAAAACAAAAGAAATAGTAGGAACAGAGAAGGGCAAAGGCCAGAAGTTCATCAGTTTTGGAGCTTTGTCTGCAATAACTCAGGAAGAACGTCATAGAGGGAAGAAACCTATTAAGCTGAGCTGACCTGAGCAAAGCCCAGTATCTCAAGGCAGAAAACGAAAAAAGAATAAGGGAATTGTTCCATACTGCGACAGCAGCCCCTGGAATTGGAGGTGAGAGGGTGCGAGGCCTGCTGCAAATGCTGGAGGACTGGGGAATTCAGTAGGTGCTGATCTACCGCACAAAATCCTTAAGGTGGCTGTCTGATAGAAATAAGGTTTCTCCTGTACCGGTTATAACTTCCATAAAGTACTAACACACGCAACTTCTCCATGAAGTCCCATGGAAGCAGGTCACAATCTTCTTGTCAAATCTTATCTCAAAGGCACTATACATATATTTATTTCTATCAACTTATATAGCCTCCGTCACCATAGTAACTTATCCGTCTGTTAGTACTACAAGATATCTTCTTTTATTCAAGAAGGGTAAAATACAGTTTTCTGCTATTAGCGCTCAAGGTTACTGCACCGTTCTCGCAAGTAATTTTATGAGCACCTCATAGCTTGACAAATTCTGTGCTACCAGTGATGCCTGCTGATTGCTTCGGCCTGGGGTAGGCGCTATGGAAAGAAGCTCCCCTCCAACAGGGTGTCAGAAATAAGACTGCACGGAAGCACAGAAAAGAGTAATGTGAATTCTTGCATTCTTTTCTATCTCATGCCAAATCAACTGCTCTAAATATTGATTTTTTTTTTAACGCTTAAACTAAAAAAAAAAAAGAGAGAGAGAGGATCTGAGTCCAAAGAGAGGCTGTGAGCACCACTTACTGCATGCAACCATTGAGAGCTGCAGCTCTGTGAATGTATTTTTGATTGTGTTTCAGTTCTTCATTATTAAAGATGGGCTGCAGTTGACCCATAGTTTTGCTGCAATCAGCTGAAACTCAATTACCATCACAGCACAAGCCACTTCTGATGCGGACTTTCAGACTGCCAGGAAGAAATACTATCGTATTTCTAGAGTGCTAATTTTCCCCAGTGTCAAATATAACTTGTTTGTTTACACAGTTTGGGAATTTTCTACAAAATTTCGTACAACTGAAAACTACGCTGTTAGTTTTACAGGGTCTGGACAATTCAATGGAGCTGAATTTTCCCTTTTAGGAGAACATTTGACATTGACCAGGGCAACTACGTTGTAACTACATTCTTGCCTCACCAAGAGGGAAATCTGAGCTCAGCCCCTGCCCCCTAAAGCCCAGACAAACCCCAAGGCAAAGGCTAAGAGGGAAGAAATCACCATGAAGCTTTCCTCACTGAAATCTGCCCCCGTCTTTCTGCCACGGGAGGGAGTTTGGCACTGGCATCCTGCAGTAGAAGAAACCGCATGGGTCTACCCAAATCCTGCTGATACAAGCTCTCTTCTCTCCTGGCCTTCTCTCATCTGTTAGGTCAATCCCATGCTGACAGACCCACCAGTTTTCTTCTGAAACATCATGAGGTAGCAGCGGGCCAGGAAATAAAGCTTCCATTTTTGCCAGGCATTCAAAGTTGTGTGAGTGATATGAGTGTCATTCTGCCCCTCTCTTTTACTTCCCTCCCTCCAGCTTGTCGCTTTTCTTTGGCTTTGACCATGCAAAGAATTGGGAAATTTCTTTTTCCCTGAATATTAGATAAACTTCTCTGTGCATATAACTTTTGGTGGTTCCCTCCTTTGGAATTACATCCCAAAGCTGTTTGGGAGTAGAGAACGCAGGACAACTGAGATGAGGAGCGTTACAAGGATCTACAAGCCATTGTCTCCAGAGCTCTCGTACTGCATGAACATACTGAGCAACAGCAGTTCCAGATAAATGTGGTGGGTAGGTGCTGTGCCCTACCTCTTATTCTAGGCACTCTGCATCTGCTACTTGTATATATTGATGCCAAAATATACCAGGCTGGGAAAGAAGACAGATTTGTACGTCTATTCAAATTGAGCATGCAGCATATAAAAGCATAGTGAAGTGGGGAGAATGGTCAAATCAGATGATCAAGAAATGGACAGCAAAAGAAAAATAGAAGCCACTGTGTCTTTGTGTTTCTGGCCTTCTTCAGAGGTCATCAGTGAAGTCATATCTCCATTGGCAACATCACAATCGTCTCCACAGCAACAAAGTGATGCTGCAGAACACGGAGATGTCTATTTTTAAAAAGGTAGGAGGCAAACACAAATGTGGAGCATGTAGAGGTTGAACAGCCACACAAATCTACCGACTTCAATGGGAGGTGCACAAAAATACTCACTGAAGCCAAATCAGCTTTTGAAATCTTCTCTAAACGTAACATCTCCTGGATTCCTCATTACACCTAGCGGGCAGCGATAGCAAAGAACTCAAGAGGCAGCAAGATTATCGCACAGCTGGTATCACTGCCTGTCTTTCTAGATGCTCCTAAAGTCTACAAATCCAAGAGGGGCAGGTATCCAGCGAGGTACTGCACAGCTATGAATGAAGTGCCAAAGAGTATGTGACTCACATGGGCTAGCTTATGAAAGGATAAATGTAGACCTGTGTTTTACACAGCATTAAAGTGCCATTACTTTGAGGGGAGGAAGATCACTTACCCTAAAGAGAGTCTAAAAAGGATTTGCAAACCATAAAACTCAATGGGATTAAAATGAACGGAAGTTTGTTTTCAAAGTCTGATCTAGAGGTATCCAAAATACTGTAAGAAGCATTGTTGTTAATCTATTTGTTGCTAAAAATCCCAGGAAATTTCTCTTAGAATTTTATCATTCAATGTTATGAATACCTCTTAAGCTTAGCTGATCTTTGAAAGATTTCTGCCATTTTGGACTGAAGTCTTACCAGAAGAACTCTTAAGACATGAGTGAATGTGAAGACTCATTGGCTAACTTCGTCATAAACCTTTCTACCCACATCAGGACTCCAAGCTGGCTGAGAAAACCTTCTCTTTAGCTGTCAGGCTGGGGGACAGAGACAAAGACCTCCCTCTATTCATCCTTGAGAAAATATCCTTGATTTAAAGCATGAGCTGCAAAAAGCATTAATGTGGTGATCATCACTAAGACCGCAGTACCTTTGTCTGTAGTGCACTTAATTCTTGCATTTTGGAGACAATTCTCTCTAAGAACCATTTTGTCACAAGGCCCAGTATGGCTTCATACAAAAAGCAGAAGGGAACACACACAGCTCGCTCTCATTCTTCCTTGTTTGCCACTCCTGAATTCAAATATTCTTGTTCATGCATGAAGAGAGCAAGCAGGACCCTCGTAGCCAGCAAGTGCGTTGCTTGCTGTCACAGGTCCTCCCCACTGCATCTGACAGCACCCACTTACAGAGAGCCCAGTTGCTAGAAAAATAAAAGCTTGGGGTAAGAACAGATCTGGGCGAGTGCGTAATGACCTGCCACTCCTCCAAATCCCTTGCATCGTGTTCTAGACAATGTTTCTATGCCTT